AGATATTCCCGTTACATTTTGCCGTTAAACATCGCGCGCTGCGACAAACGCAGATTTCGTCAGATATTTATACATATATATTCAAAGCGCGTGTATGTATGTGTGTGTGAAATAACACTAATATAAAAATGCCTGAATATATTATACAAATCAACGTATGGTTAATTAATACAAATTTTTTTCAAATATAACAGTACATGGAATATTTTTTTAGAAGAATCTTTCGTTGGTTTCGATAAAAAAAGAGGGTCGAAAAAGGGATTTTTATTGATAGCATTTTTTTACTGAACTAAGATAAAATTACTTTTTACCAAAATTAATTTTAAAAAATACAAACTAGAAATTTTTTTATATTAGTAACATTTTTGTTACTCAAGTAACACTCTTGTTAATTGAGTGATATTTTCCTTAATCTAGTGACATTTTTTGTTACTTTAGTAATATTTTTAATAAATAATAATTTTTGTTACTTCAGTAAGACGCATTCTAAACTTTATAAAGAAGGTTCGTCCTGAGTCTCGTCGTCGTGAAGAAACTTTTTAAAAGATAGACACGATATTCTTGCAAACATTTCTTCTTGCCTCTCACAATGTGGCTATAATGTCAATTCGATGTCTTAACCGATTTTAATTTTTCTATAATAATACACACCCATTAAGGGCGTGGGATATCTTATTTTATATTTTTATAATTATATAATTATCTCAAAGATCTAATTTCATACTCATATTTGACATACATTTGTCAAAAATTCATTTTGTATTCAAGTATAAAATATGAAAATAAAGAAAGGACTTTTATATTTTGAGTTGGTGAAATTTTATTATTTTTATTGTGGTAATTTACGTATAAATAATTATTTCAGACGTATAATATAATAATATATAAATGTTTTTTATAAATCAACGAATAACATGCGGCAATTATTTTTAAGAGTCATTAAAAGTACCGCACACTAACTTTAATTAGAAAATATTCATTAACATTGACGTGATTTAAAAAAAAAGAATGTAATTACTTCAAATGTGAGGAGAAATAAAGAATCTTTATAACGGAAGAAAGACAATAGTAAAGTCACGGAAAATTGTATTGTTTAAAATTTTTGTTGTCGCAAGCTTAGAATTATTGCTTTAGTAAAAGTGTAAGTCAAGGTCTCTTATTGTGATATTTTTTTTTAACATATAAGGAAGCAAGGAATTATATTTCTAGAATTCGTATATTGTTTCAATTCCGGAAAAGTATATTATAATATAACAAAAATATGATTTAATTTATTTTAAAAGTAAAAAAAGATTTATTAACCCTTTGCCGGTTATCTGTTACGAAATGTCGTTTAGCTTTAGAGTCCTTTCTGGAAGAACATAAATGACAATGGAACCCGATTTTATTTGAAAATAAATAATATTAGAAAATCTTATTTTATAACTAAAAATATGAATTTTTTTAAAAAGTGCAATCACGTGAAGCTATTATTCAATTACAAAAAGATAAGTTTCTTTGTTAAAGACTTTTATCATATCTAAATCAAAATGTAAATATAACCTTGAAATTAAAACTGACTGATTACGGCCCTGACTTTTTCCACGTGTGATTCAACTGTCAAACCGCTTGCTTCTCAAGTAGGGGTTAAATATATATCCTTTTAAATATGCAAAAATTCCATCATATAGAAATTGAGATAGAGAAAGAAATAATATTCTGTGTTTTCCATTTACATAGATAATTCGAAGAATGGCGAAAAAAATGAAGAAACATTTTTTAACAATAACGGTCAGTTTTTGAGGAAAATTATACGATTTATTGAATCGTAAATCGCGCATGACAAGGATTTTTGATTTAAAAACTCTGTAAACAGTCATGTGTGATTATTTATATATACATATATTTTTTTTCCCAAAATAAATTAAACATTTTCAGTGTTACGTAAATTAAAGAAAGAAAGAAAGAAAGAGAGAGAAATTCCCTTTGACAGAATCACGCGATTTCAAACACTCTTTGTCGCCTCAAGACAACGCAGTTGATCATTAAAATCCATAGTCACAGTAAATTGAGAAAGTAATTTTTTTTCATTTTCCTTTTGTTGATAATGGCCGACAATTTTCAGTGATAGACAGTTGATAACTTTCAGTTAATTTATAGGTGAGTTTACTTTCTAAAATTGTTTGCACGCATGACTGTATATGTATATGTACATACAATTATTTATATCTATAATTCTTATTGGTCACTATTATAAAAAATATTTTTTCCTTAAGAAAAATTAAATATCAAGTAATGAATTATTTCTTTTTTGAAAAAACAGAACAGCAAATTGTCGATTAAATGACAAGCAAGCAGGGTTGGATAACTGGAAGTCGAAATCATTCCGGTTTGGCCGCACGACTTTGAAGAGTCAGAGAATTTCTATATAGTTTCTAGATCGTGACGTGGATTATTGTAAAGTATCAAAAGAAAACATTAATATTTTTGATCTTAATTCACGAGATATTATAAAGAAAAAAATGTAATTTAAAATAATTTTACATGAAATATTAAAATTTTGATTTTATGTTGAAATTTGTGAGGTTATGTTGACGACTCTTACACGTTCCATGCTACGAACTAGCAATACACTGTGCAGAAATTCTTCGACTTGTGATGCTGCTTTGTGTCAAAGAAACAAAAGGATAAGAAGAAGATTTATGCCTTTGGGTGTATTACGTTAGAAAACCAAATCGTAAAGAATCGTTTTTTTTCGAAAATCACAACGTACGGAAGAATTACAACCAGACGGAAACAAAATAAAAAAATTAAATGGTAATAAAAATACTTTGGACACAAAAGAATTTGGAGATAAGTTCCTAGTGCCAAAGAGAATAAGAACATGTTTTTTAGAAAACTAAATCGTAATAAAATATTTTCATCCAAAAAATCAGAAGACATGTGAGAAAATAAATTCATTTTTTTCATGAATAAAAAAAGATTTCTTTTAATGTTGTTTTTGTCATTTTGTAACCTAACAGTTATTTGTGACTGTAGAAACAATAATATACTGCAGTTTAGTCAATTGTGCGAGTTATAAATATTATCAAATATACAGAAAGAGAATGTAAAAAATAAAAATAATCTGTCTCAATAAAAAAAAAATATTTTTTTTCGCTTCATGACAAGTGAATTTAAAATTAGACCGAGGATATCCGCGTACAAAAACCTACATTGTGTATGTATACCTATTTGACTTCACACAGAGACCTACTCAAGCCTCATCCTATATCTTAACAGGAGACGATAGGGCGATGCGATATAATACAAGAAGAGAAACGGTTGAGGCGTCTATATACGTTCCTTGACCGGTTGTATATACCTATATATAATATACGCCATTGGAAATATTCTCCTTTACTTCGTGCACTGGAGTTCGTTGCCTGCCATTTTTTCTGCTTTGGTGCATATCAAAGCACTAATTACGAGCTTCATGGAAGAAACTTATTTTTTCTCATTTTTTTAAAATGTATTCTTACATTTTTTCCTTTTCATTTTTTTATTTAAAAAAAAATTTTTTTTTAGTTTCACAACATTATAATAATAGTATTATTGTAGAAGTAACAATAATATCAACAATTATGTATGACGTAACAAAAGCATTAAAGTAAAAAATTGTACTTTAGACAATGAAATTAATAGTAAAAAAAAGTAACAGTAAGAGTTGAAGGTAACGAGAATATTAGTAAAAGCAACAATAATACTTGTAATAGTAACAAAAGTAACAAGAAGAAGTAACGGCAAAAGTAAAAGTAACAAAAATAAATAACAACAAAAGTAACAGTGCAAAAAAAAATTGTAAGAGCAAAAGTAACATTAATAATTAAAGCATTGATAGTAACTTTTTTATTAACGTTGTAATTAATATCAAAAATTATAATTAAAGAAATAATAAAAAAATTTTTCATAATTAAAAAAAACTGAGAAAAATTTTTTTTCTCTTTAATTCCTCATAATAAACGCAGTTTACTTTGGAAATAATAGACCAACATTATAATATATATATATATTATATACCGCTAAACATGGAAATGAAAAGAAAGCTAATCAAGGAAGCTGCGATAGAGTCAACATTATACAAAACAAGATTAAGAAACTGGGTCAATTTTCTATGGCAAAAGTTCAATTTCGCAAAAATTTATGGATAAGCATTATGTATTGAATATTCAACTTTCCATTAATAATTTTCCTTTACAAATTTTTATATTGTTGTTATTATAGTCGTATATTATAATTTTATATTACTAAATTAAATTAAATATAAACTAATTTTTTTATGGAAAAATTATTAAAAATATAATTTATTTTACGTTCATTAGAAAATTTAGTATTTATGTGGTATTTTTTTTATTAAATGAACGAAATTTTAACTGCATAAAATCACTGGAGCTTTACGAAACTACATATATAATTCTCCTTTTTTTCATTTCCTTGGCGGAGCCCTTTTTCTGCGCGCACGCGAAGAGTAGTAGAAGTTCATATTAAACGCTCGTGGTGATGCGGTTTGTGTTTAAGATTTTATATAGACAAAAAAATATATTTCTTTTTGATTTAGTTTTTAAATAAAAACTGTTCTCTTTTTAATTTAAAAATTTTTTTATTTTTTTTTTAACTATATTAAATAAGAATGATAATTTAACAAATAACCCTTTTTACCTAATAGAATGGGGTAAAAGGGTTTTTTACAACAGTCTCCTTATTTATGATAAATTATTATAATAAATTAAATTAAAAAAAAAATGTCAATGTTAACAATAACAAACATATCTCAAATTAAGTGTTTTTAATAATAAAAATTAAAAACAAAATTCATTAAAGTTTTATAATTCTTTTTTTAATAAATTTAATTTTAATTTAATTTAAAAAAAATTTAACTTTAATTTAAATTTTATTTGAGAAATTTTTTTTAAATTTTGAATAATTTATTTTTACTTAATTAATAATATTACTGAAAATAATTATTTTTGTCAAAAACTTACGTTTATTTATTATGTGTATTCTTTTAATATCCTTAAGTTCACCCACGTTCTAGAAGATAGTCCGTATTCTGGAGAACATTGACGCGATTTTATAAAACGCTGATGAAACCAAATTGGACGATCACAAATTATATATATATATGTATGATCTTCCAGGTTACACTACACTATTCGTTGTAAAATAATTAATTAATTAATTAATTAATAAAACAAAACGAAAATGAAAAAAAAACATTTAAGAAAAACAAATTATAACACAAACGATTTTTCGAAAGAGAAAACGCTTTTTAAAGTCTCTTTAACGAAATGAATTAAAAAAAAATTGTACTCTTTTTAAATAATTATTTAAAGGGTCACGGAGCTCTTTCCCTCCGGCCCACCGATTTGAGACTGAAGAAATCGGCACTGTCTTGGCCCAGCTTGGTGAACGGCTCAACCTGTTCGTGCACAAGACGTCCTGTAGCCAGAGGATAAATCCAGTACCGGACACACTACCTTTCTCCCTCAATAGAAAAAAACAGACAATAATTAATTTATTTTTTTCAAAATTTATTCAGTAGAAAAATTTGTTTTATAGTTTTGTATTTTTTGAAATTAAAAAATAAAATTAATTAATAAAATGTTTAGTGTTAAAATTTTAATAAAATATAGATAATATAAAATGAAATTTTTATATTATTCTTTTAAATTATTTTCTTTTTATTATTTATTTATTTTAATTTAATTTCATATTTTTATTTATAAAACATTTGACAATTTATTTTTTAAATGAATGAAAATTAATTTAATTATGTTCTTAGAATATTTTTAAAATTCTTTTATATTCTTAAATTTAAATATTAAATTTATTTTTCTTTTTTCTTAAAAACAACTTTTTTTCTCAATGTAACTTTTAAAAACTTTTCTTTTTTATGTCAAGTTCAGCCTGTGGCGGAATCGAGTGAAAAAAAATGAGAAAGTTCGTCTCACACGTTTATAAAATCATTGAAACGATTCGATTATATGCATTGGACATTATACGTGTAAAGAAAAAAAAACCCAAAAAATTCTTTTCCTTTTTTTTATTTCTTAAAATATACCTTATGGTAAAGATTTATTATCTTTAAAGACAAATTCGTAACGTTATATAAAAAAAATCTTCCCTTGTTATTCGATTTCAATCTTGCTGTATATAAAAATTCCTTTTACGAAATAAATAACATAATAATTTATTTAAAAAAAACGTATTTTGAAGAAAAATTGACTAAATGTTAATTAATTGAGATTTAATTCAACAGTTCAAAAAATGGTTTTAAAAAAAATTTTTGTTTTAATTGAAATTTCTTTGTACTAAAGCAAACATTTATCTGAATTGAAACAAAATTTTAATTAAAACAAATATTTATTTTATTATAAAATTTTTTTTCTTAATTAAATAAAAAAAATTCTTTTTGAAATTTATAAAAAGAATAGGGTACAGAGGAAATTGAAGTCGATCCTGAAATTGAATGAGACTAGGGAAGGGAATGGAAGAAAGGAGAATTATTGTATATACAGGTATATATGTATATGTGTGGTAGACAAAGCTCAGTTTCTTTCAGGCACCTTCAGGCACCACGAATATATGGTATACCTGGGCCGCCGAGTTGAACCGATTTTACTCGAGCAGAGGCCAGTTGGCATACCTGTGTCTTATAGGTGTGCATTTAATGCTCTCCTGCCATGGGGAAAGAATCTGGAACCGATGCATCAAAAAAGCCATCGCATGCTTGAAGTGCGTTTTAAATGTACTGTGCATCCAAGAGTGACCCCTAAGTAACAAATTTCATGCGGATTCCTACCAATTTTTTAAAGTTCTTCCGCTATATTGGAAACACCATTTTTTTTATTTTGAAAAACTAACATCAAATTCAAAAGCAACAATCCCACAAACCCCCGAGTAACGAGTTTTATGAAAATCGGATGAACTTTAAAAAAGTTTTAACCATTGATGGATTAAAATAAAATTGTTAAGTAGTTGGGTAAAATGGTTACATTATGAATAGACAGAGAGAGAGAGAGAGAGAGATAGATAGAGAGATATGTAATTGGGTAAAATTGTTATTTTGGAGACACTTGACAGTGTTTGAATAAAATAATTGTGTCTAATGGGGTAAAATGTCACATGAAAAAAGTAAACTCATGTAAAAAAATTATTTCAATCGTGAAAAAATGAGATGTGCAATTAAAAAATTATATTTAGTTAATTTCAATAAAATGATATATATTATCAGAAGAAACGATTATCGCGTCACAGAACAGTGATGATTTCAATGCTTGGATAGGAAAAAACTACTTAATAATTTAAATCCTTTCTTTTTTTTTAGAATAAATTGAATATCGGCTTGATAACGTAATTGGTTGCTTGCAGGAGCATTAAACAATTTATCATAAATATATAAAATATAGATAACGAGAAGCAGAATAAACTTTTTTATGATCTTATCTCAATTACTACGGTCTGAATTATAGAGAAAAAATTTTCGTGTGCCTGTTTTTCTATAAATTTAAAATTTTAATCCTCAATTATATTTTTCATAATACTTTTATTTATTTATAGTATTATTTTTTTTAATTGTCTCTAATAACATTAAATTATTGTAACAAAACTAATTTAATGGACTATAAATTATTGTTCTATTTTGATTTACTTACCCTGTGGGCAAAAAACCATGTTCGTTCTAAAAACGTTTAAAGGACGTTCTTAGAACGTTTCATGTCCGCCAAATAATGTTCTGGAACATTTTAAGAACATGGATGTTCAAATAATGTTCCAGAACATTATTTGGTGAACATGAAACGTTCTAAAAACGTTCTTAAAACGTTTTTAGAACATGGTTTTTTGCCCACAGGGTAGCGATCTCGGTGTTATGATTTATTACATGAAGTAAAATTGTCTATATTATAAAAATGTTGAATAATTTCCTAATGTGTTATAGTATAAAATTAATTAGAGTAAAATATATAGAATATTAGGTGAGATAAAATGACACATGTGACAAGGTTAATAAAAATTACTTAAAAAAATAGTCGTTAATTTATTTCTTTAAAATTATAATGAATATACTTATTTTAATTTAGAATAGCCTTTATTAAAATAAATTTATCGAAAATTTTCAATAAACCGGTCTATTTCTCCGCATAATATATATTTTTTATGAGTTGTTCCTTGCAATATTGAGTAAAAAAAGTTGACATATATTACATTATAACCTATATGGAAAAGTAATTGCCAAGTCATAAACATCAATATACATAATAATTAAGAATATAAGGAATTTTGGTATATAGGGTAAATGCACCAGTGGTGGATCAGGCACCAATGGTGGATCAACAGCGTTAAAAAGGTTAAAATAAGCTATTTCTAATTGAACTAAATGTTTCAATCGTTTAGGGGAGGTGTATAGATAAGTTTTATGAAATAAAATCATTTGAAAATATTTAGGAAAACAAAGCAATACAACAATTGTTGATTTTATGTTTTTTCACATGAAATCTTAAAAAATAATTGTTTAGTCTAAATTTTTTTAATTTTTAGAGTAGAAAGTAATCAATTCTTTCCATGCAGAATACTTTTGGAAAAAAATTTACATCATTAAGTTATTTTTGTGTAGTGTAAAGGGGTAAATGATCCACGACTGGAGGAATGTCATTTTATTGTTGAATGTGGGTGTGAGGGGGTGTAAACGTTACAAGCAGGTCGAAAACTACACGATAGTGTCCTTGAAGACTTGTTAATTCATACTATTGTAAAGATTACCCTATATTTTTCATCTGAAAAAATCTGTACACCTTTAAAGTCAAAATAATAAATTTAGTAGGCTTAATTGATCCACCACTGGTGCAGTTACCCTATATGCTATAAGGACGGAAAACTTAAATTAAAAGAATGTGTGGTAAGAGCTATAATTAAATTTCATTTTTACCACCCTCTCCCTCACAAAAAAAATTCTTTTCAATTTCATTTTTGTATATTCTCATGGTATTTTATATAGGATGATTGATTTTATACGGGGTAAAATGACACCTTAACGTGATAATTAGAGCCAATGGATATAGGAAAACTGTATGCAGTAAAATGGAACATTATGCAGTAAACAAGTTACAAGCGGGATGAAATAACTTTTAATTGGGGTAAAATGACATATTGAGAAAAAAATACAGAGAACATAGTAAAAATATATATATTTTTTCAAACTCACATATATTTCATACTTGACTATAATTACAAATAAAACGTAAGTGCGGCGCATTGAAAAGGAAACTAAAAAATCATTACTTTCATCTACAGAAAATAGATGTGTATGTATATACAAGGCATAGGCACATGCAAATCATGTACGTTCACCGTTATAAAGATATTAGAATTAGGTATTTGTACTTCGAAGCGGTATTATTGTCAAGGAAATAAAAAGAGGAGTTTAAATTGCTAACAAGTATGACCCTATTTCCCCTCCTATTGTAGACATTTCAAGAATACTCTACTGAATAAATAAGTATATATACAAGTTTTTTAAATATTCATTTATTTATTTAAAAATATAAATTTTAATTTACTTAATTATTTTATACATAGATTTGTATAAACAATATATATATATATATGTGACAAAGGTGTAAGTGTGATTATCAGCTCTGTTGCACTTGGGAGGCGTTCAACCCGGCAACTTCTGGCTGCACGCGAAGCAAATCCTTTACGCGAGGCTGTTTATAAATAAAACGGAACCATCATCCTTACACTGCTTACCTAACCAGAAAACTCTGATGGAATAAAATACTTCATAAACTCTATTGTTCTTTTTCAACTCGGGGAGAAAAATTATGAAGAAATGTGAAAAGTTACTTGTCGTCATTAATAATATGCTTTACTGTGTAGAAATTTAAATGTGGGCCTGATAGGGTATATACTGAATAACTGACCAGTGCCCTACAAGGCTGCTACTTTTTCTTCAATAATAAGACTGACCTAATAAACTAAACTAAAATAGTAATAATAATTACGAAAATCATAATGAAAATTTGCGCAAACTTGATTATCATGGTGAAAACCATAAAAAAACATAAAAAATCACAGTTTTTCACGATTATCTTGTAAAAATCAAAAAATTTCGAAAAAAGTTTTAGACAAAAGTTGTAGATCTCTAAAAAAGACACATTTTATGTTTTATGCATTTTTTACCAAAAGTCATTATTTTTTGAGAAAAATGGTCCCAAAGTAATTTGCTGAAATTGTGGGGTGGAGTCTACAGCAGCGGTAAATATTAACGCAAAATAGTAAACACGGCCTTCGGCCGCGTAAGGTACTGCTCGCTTCTCTTTTTAATAAATCTTGGCGAGAGGGGGTGGATGTGT